AATAGAACACACAGTTAGAATGGGATCCAAATGCTTCCTAGAGTGGAGCTTTGTTTTTTACCTGTATCTTAAATTTCATCATTATATGGAGCTCCTAGGTAAGGAAACTTCCGTTCTACTAATACAGATTGACACATGATCTGTAACTTAGTTTAGAGTAGGGGTTCTTGACCTGGAGTTCATAGACCCTTAAGGAGTCCATGGTGAGTTTTTGGAGGGTCATGGACTTGGATGGGAAAAAAAGTTACATCTGTCTTTTAATAGAATTGATTTCCTTTGCAATCTGATGTATTTTATTTTAATTTGTTTAAATTAGTTTAAAATAATTATTCTGAGAAAGGGTCCGTAGGCTTCATCAGAGCCTTCCAAAGGGATAAACCCCTTTTGACATAAAAAATTTTTTTTACACAAAAAAGGTAAATAACTCTTCTCTTAGAGAGTTGCCTGGGACCCTGAGAAGTTCACTAGCTTGTTCAAGGTTACATGGCCAGGAGCTGTTAGGACTGGAAGGTCTTGACCCTTTGTTATCTTGATATATATGATACATACTGTATTCTAACACACAGCTTTCTTCTTCCCTGCTGTGCTAGATCTATTTCCTAATTCCATGATTCCATTTACATGTGAAGAGTGCCTTTTCCCTGTCTACATTTCTTTTTGCAAAAGGCTGCTCAGGAATTAATCTCATGTGGTAGACCCAGTGTGTTTTCTAGGTGTCATTGTCATCATGTACTCTTGAGTTCTTTATAAACGGGCTCAGTGTATCCATATGACTCAACTGTGTAATTTATTCAACTAATTCCAGAAGCCAGTTTCACCTTGATTTATAATGTTAACTAAGTGGTTCAGGGGATAGAGCACCAAACCTGTAGTCAGGAAGACCTGAGTTCAAATCTGGTCTCAGACACCAGCTTTGTGACCCAGGGTAAGTCACTTAATGCTGTTTGCCTCAGTTTCCTCATCTGTAAAATGAATTGGAAAAGGAAATGGCAAACCACTCCAGGATCTTTGCCAGGAAAACCCCAAATGGGGTCATGAAGGGTCAGACATGACTGAAAAAATAACTGAACTAAGTCCTATCAATCAGCTAACTTTAGGAATTCCACAAGTAAGCTTAGAATAGGTAGAAAATGATACCATGTGGCTATTTCAAAAGGGATAAGAAATGTGCATTCTTATCATTCATGGTCCTCATGAAAGCATGTAAATGATGAGTCTTCTAGTAGATGCCAAGCCCCAATCTGATCCATCCAGAGAATGTTTTAAGAATCCATTATCTTGAAACATTTGTTATTTTTATTTTTACTCTTTAAATACAAATCTCCAATGAACTTATCTTGAACTTTAAACTTATATCACATCATATTACCAGAGTTTACTTTTTTGGGGGGTTAAACTAGAAAACAATTCCATTTCTAGACCTCTAATTGCCTCATTCCTTTTGTTTTTGTTGGATGAAAGGACATCTGTTAGGGATTCCTTGCTAGGTGGTGGCAAACAATAGATCCTGGCAAAATAATAGATCCATTAGCTCATTCCTGAATATGATTTGTTTCTATTGAATCTTCCTAATGTGAATAGGAGATGTGAGAAATGTCCACACCTCACCATGTTTTTTAATATGTTAGTAGTTTTAATTTTTTTAAAGGAAGAGATGGGTAGAAAAATAAGATTACTAGGATATTACTTATAACCAACAAATTTTGTTTCATTTCAGACTACTATAAAGGAATTGTATGTGTGTTGGTGTATGTGTGTATACATATATCCACACACATATGTATGGCAATCTTTTATATCAAATACATAGTTACATTTTTATTTTCCCTGCTAATAGTGGGGACAGAGGTTTGAATGATATAAAATAGTAGTAGAAAATTTTAAAAAATTCATTTAAATCTGATGTTTTGGAATTCAAGTTAGAGATACACAGACAGTGAGACAGGCAAGGAGACATGAGAGCACACGCTCAGATGTTAATCCCTTTGTGTCTGTCCTAACCTCAAAAGCCTCAGATTTGGTGCTATTAGTAGTCCGAATCCAAGTTTGCAGTGGAGGAGATTAGCTGTGGCTAATCCATTAAGTTGATAAACTCATAAATAGATAAATGATTGTCTTATATTAGCTGATGTTGACATCACACCTGGTTGTATTGGACCATTTGGGATACTGATCACATAAAATTTACAATATTGACCAAAGTTCCAAAGTGGGGGGAAATCTATGATATAGTACAAGTGTTCTTAATCTGGGGACCATCAAGCACCCTCACCTCTTTCCCCTGGAAAGTATATTGCCAAGGTAAGTGAACTTATCCACAGCATTCAAAATTTCTCCCATTTGCTGCAACCAGTGGTTCCATATATAGATGATGTGGTGCTGGCTGGTGGGGAACCTCTGTTTTTTTGGTGTGGATTGTTAGGCCAAAATTAGCACAAGCAACAGAGAATTGGTCCATATTCTGCTGCAGCTGAGCCTCAGAGGCTGCATTGAGTGTAGAAAAATAAGATTACTAGGATATTACTTATAACTAACCCCCCCCTCCCTCAAATCTGTATGTAGATCTCAGAGGATTTGTGAACTTGGATCGGAAAAAAATTATATCATTATTTTCACTAATTTTTAACTGAAATTAGCATTTACTTCAATTCAGAATTTTTAAAAAAGTTGTTCTGAGGAGTCTATTGTTTTCACTGGAGTGCCAAGATGGTCCATGACATGAAAAAAGTTAAGAAACCTGGTTGAAGGGATAAATACCATAGGACCATTGCAGTAGAAATGCAAAGGACCTCAGAAGTCCATATAGTCTCATTTTTATTTTTACAGAACCCACTTTCTGCAAGAATCCTTTCCTGACTCCCCTTTGTGTCACTGGCTTCCCTCCCAGATTATATTCAGTTCATCCTGTATATAAGGTTACTAGTTACTGTATATCTACTTTGTAAATGGTTGTTTGTATGTTGTCTTCTGCATTAGAATGTGAGCTCCTTGTGGGCAGGGACTGTTTTTGCCTTTCTTTGCCCAACCCTTTGCACAGGTGCTTAATAAATGCTTGTTGACTTGTCTGTAATTACAGAAGTACTAAGTGGCAGAGGTTTGAACTCGGGTCAGTTGCTCTGTCCACCTTACCAGATTGCCCACCTGGTATTGCCAGGGAACTGATGAGGCATCAGTCCTTTAATTTTCTTAGCAGTTATAATCCCTGAGGTTTTAAACAAGAGTTTTTTGGTTGAGGGCTGGAATGAAAACGGTCCATCTGTTTTTACTAAGATGTCAAACATCTTCTGGATTGGTCATAGAAAGTCAGACACTTTATAGAAGGAACAAAAACGACAAGGTGAAGCCGTTTCCCCCTTTATTTGCTCTTAATAATTAAAATCAGCCTAAATTCATTGTGTTCATGTACACACTAAGAACACAGCTTATCTACAATTCATTTAAACAATTTGGTGAATGGTATCTCTTGGTAGATTCTTTACCTTTCTTTAACTAACAGCACACCCGTTTTGCTTCATTTAGATAAAGGGAAGAAAGAATCAGTTGAAATATATGGAATCCAGAGCCATCATTGACTGTCTTCTGTGCATATACACCTTCATGTTTTCTCTATAAATAGTTTTTTTAATCCTTTCATTAGATCTGCCTCATGATTAGAGAATCAAAAGGCAGATGCTATTAAGGTCCAACAGTAACCACCAGAGATTGGTCCAGTTAGTGTTATGTGATATTGTAAACCAGTTATGGGTAGAATAATATGCTAGTAAAGTTCATCTTGTTAATAATGTAATTGAAAGGAAATAAATCTTCCCTTCAGATAATAGTATTTTTAACTCATTTTAAGCACAGTATACAAATAGAACTCAGACTATTTTGAATATTGATTTCACAAGATGGAATACAGAGCCCATGGCATAAACCAGAATATTGACAAGTTAACATTTGACCATTTTTTAAACATGAACCTTTAATTGAAAGTCAATTACTTAGTAAAATAATTGTTAGAGCTAAGAAATATTTTCAGAGGCAACAGAGACATTTGTTGAAGATGATACCACCTTTAGATGAAGAAAATACAAGAAGTATGGAAAACTAGACATGAGGGTACTTAGTATATTAAATTTAATTACACGTTACACAGACTATGATGTAAAAACAGCAGTTTACTAGAATAGTTATAATCTGCAACATGTGAAAATAGTTTAGAAAATGGATTTAGGTTCATATTCTTTGATGGCAGGCTTGGTGAGAAATACATTTACAGAATGAGACAGATCCATGTTTCTACCCAAGTGCCAACTTTTCTCACCTTGTCACCAAATTAATCGGGACCAAGAGTTTGATGAAGAAAGCTTTATGTGGTTGGGTATTTAAGAACAATGTAAATAGAGTATACGTTCCAGTAGATTGTAAACTCGAGGCAAGGACCATTTTTCATTTTGTATTTTTAGTACCTAACGATGCCTGGCACAAGCTCCCCCACTAGACTGTAAGCTCCTAGAGGGCAGTGACTATCTCTTGTCTCTTTATATTCCCAGCACCTAGCACAGTGCCTGGCATATAGGTACTAATGAATATTGATTGATGGATTTTTTTTTTTTATTTTCATGAGTACTAAGTGCATTGAATAAATGCAGTGTTGTCATGGATTTTGTTCCACGGAATAGATGTATTGATTAATTCCTTTCTTGCTATGGCTGCATAGAGGTATAAGTAATTAGTTTTCCTAGATATTTGTGTTTCAGTGAATGATTTAGCTCTAAGACCATTCTCTTCCCTATGACTGTGGGTATGGCATATAAATGCTTTGGATGTCAGACCTATGATCCCTCCTAAAATAAGGCTTCCTGGTCCATTGTATGCAATGCTTCTAATGGAGGAGAAACATGGATTGAAATGGCAGAGGATAATTTTCACAGAATAGCTCTAAGCAGCTTTTTTTTTCTTTTTGAAATCTTGTCCAGCTGTATTTCAGAAAGCAAGAGCAATTTTAGGTGGTTTTATTGAATTTACAGACTGACCCAGACAGAGACATTCTTCTTATCAATTGATCATAGAGTTACAAAAACTGTACATTACAAACAGTATAGAAACAAACTGAAAAGAATGTGCCACACATCCTGGATAATCATATATATGCAGGTAAATTTACAGATATAAAAGAAAGTACAGCCTACTCCCTTAATAGTGCACAGTTATATAGATACGATGTATCACTAGTGAGTGGATATAATTGTGGGTCTCTAGTTATCGCCAGCGCAGAGGATGAGAGCCAGATCTGTTCGGTACAGCTTGCCACCATCCGACAAAGCCATGATGCTTTTTTTGTATGTTGAAATGTTGTTAACGTCCAGATCCTGTTCGGGGAACACATGCTTCTTTATCAATCCCAAAGCCAATGAAGTTAGTGAAAAGTGAAGACAACCTTTTTTTTTTTTTTTAACATCAATGTATTTAAAGGGAAATTATACTCCATCCTCATATAAACAACAATTATTTCTCTGAACCAGTGATTCTCAGACTTTTTCATCTCAGTTCTCCTTTACATTTTAAAAAATAATTGAAGCTTCCATTATTGACCTTTTGTTTTCTGGGTTATTTCTATCTATAATTATCATCAGATGAAAATAGTTTTGACTTTGTAGACCCTCTGAAAGGGTCTTAGGGACAATATGCACTGAGGAGGGGTTCTTGGAAGACCACTGTACTAAGCTACTAATAAATCCCTGTGTTGGTTCAGAGCAACAGCTCAATACATTTAGAACTCTGTAAATGTATCTCTAGTAATAATGTTTATCTAACAATTGTATCTTGGTACTTTATTTTAACTGAGTGGACTTGAAAAAGTCTTTAAAGAGCCAGGATAATCAGTGAATAAATTACCTGCTTGTTCTTTTCACAGAGATCTTTCAGTAAAGCATCTAATTCATTTTCATCTATGTATCCATTGCCATCCTGAAAGGGAGAAAAAGAAAACACTACAATCAACCTTAGCTTACCCACAATTATATGAGCTAAGGTTTACCAAGCCAATTGAAATCTATAGCCCTATGAAGTCAGTATGGTAGGTAGAACAGATACAAAACTGACACAAGTAGTAAGTGATTAGTTCTGTCTCAATAGTATAATGGAAGAGCTAGCACTACAACTCAGAGAGTATTAACAAAGGGGAAGGAAGGAAATGAGAAAAAAACAAAAAGCCAAAAAAACCCCAAAGGACCAGAATAAGAAACCCTTGAATAACAAAGAATAGGCTATATGTTTATTTTTTTTCTTTATACCTCTTAATCTGTGAATTACTGTTTCCTAACATACATTTTCACAATGTCTCTCAACAAACAAAGAAATAGTGAAGACAAGTTACCTGATCATATAACTCAAAAGCTTTATTGAACTCTTTCCCACACATTTTGACTCCCTAGAAAACATGGAAAACATTAGACTGAAGATTACATTAAGATGCCAGGTTATTGCACTACTGCTGTACATGTTAATATCCTTCATTTCAAAACTCTACAGATTTGACCTTTAACAAGACAAATGCAATTTAAAAGTTTTATACCTGAAATTTAAGCAGGAAATTCTCTTGAACTGGTAGCAACCTTTGGGTTGAAAAAATTGTAGTGTTAGTTTTTTTTTTCTTTTTAGGCAACAGTTGATATGAAACTACATTTGTAGAGTTCTTAAACTTACCTGGCCATTTCAGTTAATTCCAGCTTTCCATCATTGTTTGAGTCAAACATTTTCAGCTGAAAGACAATGTCATGATTATAGCTATTAAATAGCACATTTGTTGCATTGAAAAAAACAAATGTCAAAGTAGAGTGAAAGCTGAGTTGCAGGCACTTTATCAGCTGCAAAGTTCTAGAAATCAGCATTTCTGAAATCTTCCAGTACAAACATTTCAGACGGTGGCATGGATCTGAAGCTAACTGAAAGAGACTAATCAAATAAATGGTATAGTATTATATAGAGAGAGTGCCCGGGCTCTGAGGTTAAAAGCCCAGAGGCCTGGATTCCAGTATCAGCTTAACTGCTTTTTTACTTATTTGACCTTGAAAAAGTCACCTTTTTTCTGAGCCTCATTTTCCTGTAAAATGAGGAGATTGGGTTAGGTAAAATTTAACTTTTTGGCAGTCTAGTAAAGCTCTAACCCTTCTCAGAAGAATGCTTTATTGAAGGAAATGTTAAATTTCAATTAGAGGTTAATGAAAATGATGGTTTTTTTTTTTTTTTGACACAAGTTAATCCCCTTCCCTCCTCCCATTCCCAGGTTAAAAACCTTTTGTGATAGATGCTTTCTAAAGTTCTTTATAGATCTAAACCTAAGATTTACTATTTAGTATTCTTACTATTCTGGTGTGGGTTTTTTTTGGGGGGGGGAAGAGGGAAAGGAGAGGAGAGTTAGATATTTGTCCCCCAGGGCTTTCCCATATGTCAGTATGTCAGTAAATATTGATTTACCCTTTCATGAAGAGGAGTGAGGGTAGCAGTAAGAGGAGCAACATCAGTTATGAATATGTATAAATATATTTATTATTTGGAACATTGTGCAAAAGGTATTGCTGTATTTGTTTTTAAGGGAAGGGAAGTAACTAGGATTGGACTGAGAAAATCGGCTTTGTCACCACAGTTTAGGGAGAGTAGAAAGGGCAAACTCTAATTAAGTTGGGGTATTTTTAAGTGTAACTGAGCCGTTAGCAGAGATCCTTGATTGGTGTCATACCTCTATAGCAGGAGATCTTAACCTTTTTTTTGTGTGTCATGGATCCCTTTGGAGATCTGATGAACCTATTGACCCTTTCAGACCCTTTTAAATGCATAAAATAAAATACATGGGAGTACAGAGGAAACCATTTGAATCGAAACAGTTATCAAAATAAATTTTAAAAAAATTTCGTGGACTCCAGGTTAAGAACTCCTGGAATTAATATCTGACTTTTAAGAACCTTTTTTTTTTTTTACATCTTTGTTGTATTTTATTAATTTTGTTAAAGACTTTCCAATTACATCTTCATTTGGTTCAGGTCCCTCTCAGGAGTTTTGTGGGCTGGAGTTTGATACTTTTCTCTTAAGGTGAATTGGGGTATGTGTGTAGAGGTAGACAAAGAGACTTTTCATTTTGCTTTTTATTGTTTTATGTTCATAAACTACAATTTGTCTAATCGTTCCCCCAAATGATCAGCACCTACTAATGTTTCTATTTATTTGCTACCGCGAACAAGTACTATGAATATGTATATGGAACCTTGAGAAAGGCTGCTTGTTCCCTTCTAATACCATCATTAAGGATAACCTTGATTCATGTATAGATGATTCTCATAAAGATTTTGTATATGTGAGAGAGTAGGCAGATTGATCAGTAATTGATGTATCTTTAGTTGTATTTTTCTGAAATTAGTAAGGTCTGAGATTTTTTTTGGCGCTTTTTGTATCTTCCATTTCTTTAAATATCTTATATATCAATCTTTTATAATCCTCATAATTATCTTACCTCTAGTATGGATCATATGCACTTAGTACAATCTGGATGCTCTTCTCATCTTTGGAAAGTTTTCTTCCCCCCCATTTTTATCTTCCTAGCACAAAACTATGATGAGAACCTTTTTTTTTTTAACTACAATCCAATCCACATTTATCAAATGTATACTACCTATAGTATGCTATGGTTGGTGCATGGGATAGAAAAATGAAACCATACATGCATGGCCCCTGCCTGTACAATCTAGTAGGAGGAAAAGATTAGACAAGTTATAATATGCTAAATATATAGGAGAGGTTTGAACAGATTGCCTTGGGAGATGTAAGGAACAGAAAAGTTATTGCTGGGGGGAATTTGGGGAGGTTTCCTGGAGGAGATTGTTCCTGAACTTGTCTTTGAAGGAAGAGAGGATTTCAACAGGTGGAGATGTGTAGGGAGACTGTTCTGGTCATGGGAAAGTCTTAACAAAGTCACGGAAATAGGAAAAGACAAGTCCTCTAATCTGATTTGGCTAGGACATGTCGATGTGAAGGGAAGTGAGACGTGAACAGAGCATAAAATGTAGGCCAGCCCCCAGAATGAATATGAGACTACTTTTTTTTTAACTTCTATTTTTTACAGCTCCCTGGAAGATGTCTAATAATGGTCACAGTCTCCTACCTTGGACAAGTAGATCAGAGTTTATTGTCCATAGGGAAATATTTCCCAAAATATGCATTTATTTTAATTAGTTCTTGATTAATTTTGCTTACTGAATCTGAACTGGTTTATGACACTAAATAAGATATGCCAGGCCATTACAGCAGGGAAAAAAATCCCATTTGAATGATACTTTTTTTTTTTTAAAGGCCAGTCTCAGATTCTACCTGGCAAGGAGTCCTTACTTTAAATAGACTTCACTTAGAACTGGAACAAAATGGGAAATTAATAATTTTAGGTATTTGATATTAACTGAGTTACTCATAGAGTAAATTTATCCATCATGACACCAAAAAAGATAATTTTCCCTATTTGAATTTGAGTGGGTCATGCTTAATGAAGGTAGAAAAAGGTCTATTTTTTTTTCCTCTGGGTTCAGTGAGACTCTCTTATATTAAGAAACACTTTTTTTATGCAGCAACCTACTTTATAAGTAATTTTATGGTGAACAGTATTAGAGTAGGTCCCAAACGAGTGCAAATAATGACTCCTCCAAAGTAATCTCACGTTTTAAAATATGCACTATTCAAAGTTATAATTATGTCAAATATGGTAAAGGTTCCAACCCAATGAAACTATGCTGGGTGAATTAGAATAATGTGGCCACTTTAGGGGAGTCATTATTAGAAACTAATTGAGACTTAGTTACATTTTTCTTGGTATTAGGTAAGCCAGAATAGGACTTTGCTTACAGCAAATATAAGTGGAACTCCTGTTAAAAGACAAATGTTAGGGTGCTATAAAGAGCAGCAGAAGCAACACTTGCCTAAAAGGCTAACCATTATAATAGAGAGCTGTGGTATAGTGAAGAATGTGTGGTCTGAAGACTTGGGTTTGTTTTTTTGCCTCTGCCGCTAAGTTCTGTGTTTCTTGGCCTCTATGTAAAATGGGGTGTACTATCTATCTCACAGAAGTATTGTGATATATAATGTATAGAAAATACTTTATAATTCATAAAGCACCCTATAAATGACAGCTAATCTATATTCCTTTTATGTATCTGGGGAGCTATATTAAGGTCCATGTTTTTAGGAGTCATATTTTAGGGGCAGCTAGGTGGCAAAGTGGATAGAGTGACGTACCTGGAGTTAGGAAGACCTGAGTTCAAACTAGCCTCAGACATTTCCTAGCTTATCTGACTGTGGGCAAGTCACCTGCCCTCTGTTTGACTCAATTTCTTCAACTGTAAAAAGGGAATAATAATAGTACCTATCTCCCAGAGTTGTGAAGATCAAATGAAATAATATTTGTAAATCACTTAGCATGGTGCCTGGCACATAATAAGTGCTATATTATTATTAGCTATTATTATTATTAGAGGCCTAACAATATGATGTACCTTAGTTGCCTACTTTAAATTTATAAAAATTTACAGAAGAACTCTCTAAGTCAGAACTTTTCATTTGGGAAAATAACTGTTGTGAAGAGGATGAGAATTTAAATCAACAAACATTTATTAGATACCTACTATGTGCAAGTTCCTAGAGATACAAAAAAAAAAGGAGAAAAAGGAAAAAGAAACAGCTCCTGCTTTTAAAGAAGTTACATTCTACTGGAGATTGGGTAGGGAGGAAGAGGGAAGATGTGTATTGTTATCTGTCTCTCAATCTATCTGCCTATCCATCCATCCGTCCATCTATCCATCTGTCCATCTATCCATCTGTCCATCTATCTATCCATCTATCACACAACTAAGCAAATTTAAATTATATAGAGAAGTCAAGGCTAGTGAACTGTCTATTGTAGCCAAATTATCTTCTACACCAAATGCCTGCTGGCCAATTACATTTTTCAGAGGTCCAAACAATGTCCTGTTTAACAGAAGAGTTAATAGATCTTCCATGGGCCACTTACACGGGTCAGTTTATTTTTGGATCTCTTTACCTAGAACTGAAAAGCAGCCATTTCTAGGTAACTCATCAGAATCATTGCATAGCCATACAAGACTTACAGTATAGAATGAAGGAGAAGGAATTCCAGATGGAGAGCATATCTAGTCTCATATAATTAAAATAAAGTGGTACCTAGAATGCCTTTTCTGACTCTAAAATTCTAATATTCCTAACCCAAAATTTGATTAGGAAACACTTAAATAATTACATAACTTTGCTGAAATGGATATAGTGATTTAAAAATAACAATTGATCTTTTTTAGTCTTCTGAAAGAAAAAAGTTCTTTTAGAGCAAGAGTTTTTATACTTTTTGGGGGCATTATGAACCCCTCTAGCTATCTGGTAAAGCCTATGGACCCCTATCTCTGAATAATGTTTTTAAATGTATAAAATAAAATATGTTGGATTAGAAAAGAAGCCAATTATATTGAAATGAAGATGAATTTTTTTCCATCCAAGTTCATGGATACCCTGAAATATTTAGGGGTCCACATATCCCAGGATTAGAACTCCTGTTTTAGCAGCAACACAGCTACTTCTCTGGTTTGCTTAGAATCAAAGAAGAGACTTACTGAACATCTGGGCCACCACTCAGAGATGGGCAATGATGTGTGTATCACTGACTGCTTTGGGTGTGACTGTGAATTCACCAGAAACAACTAATGCAGACCTAATGACATTTCACATCCTTTGGGATATAATATTTTGGAAGTTCATCTTACCATCAAGTCTGTATATTCAGCTAATTTCGTGTCATCAAAAGTCTTGTTTGCTTTTTCTAGCAAGTCCTTTAGAAAGTTCTGTTAAGAAAAAAGAGACCCAGGTAAAGCAAGCCAGTGACAAACATCTTCATGTCAATATTTCTGAAAGTTGAACATAGTGAAGCTGCCCTAGGATGGGGATGGAAGGACAGGTGAAGAAGCAGAAGAAGAGGCAAGAATTCCATAGCTTGAGACCAACTTATGTTGGTGTTCTTTTGGAATTTCAGCATAAACTCTCCCAGCTAAATGGAGTCCAAGACTTGTCTTATGCTGTAGCATGGGAATTATTGTGGAATAGTGGAAAGAATATTGGTTCATAAGTTGGAGGACTTGAGTTCAAATCCCACTTTGGCACTACCTCTGTGACCTTGAACAAATCACTCTACCTCTCATGGCCTCAGTTTCCTTATCTCTAAAATGGAGAAGATATTCTCTTAGGTCCTTTCCAGTCATATATCTATAATTCTGTGAAATCTAGAACGATTAGTATTCTTGTATTTTTCCTATTTTCTCTGAATAATTACTTCAATGAAATCAGTATTTTATTTTAATTTTATGTTGAAAGTCTGAGGGGGGAAATCTTTCTAACTCGTCTAATGATAACTGTAGTGCTACATAGTGAGAGGTCTATAAATATTTGTATTTCTCTTCTGAATGAGATACAGGGACAGCTCAGTGCCATAGTTGAATACCTTTTTTTTTTTTGCTGGAGGGAACAATTATTAATACTTACAAAGAATAACAGATATAAACAAACACCCCCAGATTTGCCTACCTTTAGCTAATTCTACAAAGGCCTGGAGTTGCAGGGACAATTCCCCGTGAACTCACACCAGCCAATTTATAATTTCCCTCACCCAAGGGCTGCCTCTGCTCAAACATCACCACTTCACTTACTACCAGGATAATGGCAAATTTCACAAGAGATAAAGTCAGGTTAGAATGACACAAGTCCCTCCTTGGCAGTAGCATAGAGCAGAATGGCAGCTTTATGCTTGGAGGATATATGAATCATAATCAAATAGATATTAATGTGGGAAAGATGAAAGAGCATGATTATTAAATTGGCAGTTGGAGTGAGGGAGTATCTATTTTTTTGAAAGTGGGATATGAAGGCTTTAGAGAAGCTTGCCATAGTCATAACAAAGCAAGTATTTAAAGATATAAAAAGCTTCCATTCCCTTTAATGATGTTTATTTCCAGTATCTTAACTTTATATCTTGAAAACTAATGAAATCAATGACAAATGTAGGTGAAACGAGCGTTTATTGTGCATGCAGATAAGTGTTCCACTTGTCCTGTGCATTTATGGAATTCTTTACTGTCCTCAAAAACTCACTGATTTTGTTGGTTATCTTGATTTTATCCTGTCAGGGCAGCAAGCCACTTCACCTAGTTTCAGAAGTTTATTCTTATCTTAAAATTCCACTTCAGAAACCAACTGAGGCATGAAAAGCTCAAAGGTGTCTGCTGGAAGTAAATTTGTATTTTTCTCAGTGGAGCTTTGGTGCAAGGTTAATTGGGTTAAGGAGTCTCATCAGAGCTAATATAGTTGTCCCAAGAATAGCCTGGGAGAAAACTTGGGACTCTGAAATATCTTGCAAAAGATAGAGATAGATAAAGTCCTGGCATTGCAGAACTGAAAATGAGCTTTCTAGAGATATTTCTTTCTTTCTCTCTCTCTCTCTCTCTCTCTCTCTCTCTCTCTCTCTGTCATAGATTCTTACAGATCAAAGAGGTCTCAATATTCATGTACGCCAACCCATACCACTCAAAAAGAAACTCAACATACTCCATAAGATATTGGAGTGGTTTGCCATTTCCTTCTTCAGCTCATTTTACAGAGGAGGAAACTGAAGCAAACAAGGTTAAGTGACTTGCCCAGGGTCATAACCACATTTGAACTCACATCTTCCTGACCCTAGGCTTAGCACTCTATCCACTGTACCATCTAGCTGCCCTTAACAGATCTTTAGACTACTACAAAGTCGGGAATGGGTATGAGTTAGGAGTAAACCCGAGTACATAATTTTGGGACCAAATGGAAAGAAAGGTAGAATATAGGAAAGACTATTTCATTAGGCCTATGGCCTTGTGACCTGCCAATTTTTTGTTGACATGGAGCCTCTCTGGGCCTTGAATTCCTTGTCTGTCAAATGGGAAGATCCGTTTTTTTTCAACCAATAAAGGGCAGTGTAATGAAGTGGATAGTGCACTGGACCTGGGAATTGGGAAGAGCTGGATTTGAATCTCTCTCTTCTGATACTTACTTGCTGTGTGACCCTCTCTGAGCCCCAGCTTCCTTATTTATGAAATGAGCTGGTCTAGATGGTCTCTAAGGTCCCTTCCAGTTCAAAACCTATAATCCTATAAGCACTTGTTAAGTGCCTACAATATACTGGGCTCTGTGTGAGATGCTAAGGCTACAACAGCCAAAACAAAAACAGTCCCAGCCTTCAACTGCAGCTTGACTTCCACTGGTGTGAGTAGAGAGATGGAGAATATGTACACAGCTAAATTAATGTAAAGTATATTCTAAAAATGTATGTCTTAGGGGAGTGGTGGTGGGAGGAAAGATCCTAATTACTAGGAGATCTTGAAGGAGGGGGCATGAGATAAGCCTTGAAGGAATCTAGTGATTCTAAGAGAAAGATGTAAGGAAGGACTGTGTTCCAGCATGAGGTGTCTGTACAAAGGCAGAGAGGTGGAAGTGGATCCCATCTCTAAAGTCCCTTTTAACTTGAAAAACCTATCAATATATATAGGGCAGAAAGCATAAAACCTATTTCTCTTGGATGATTTAAAAGAAAAAAAAGCTTTCTTAGTGCATTTCTACATAATAAGAAAAGTTCACTATATTATCACAACTTTTCAGATATAAAGAAGTCCCTTTCTGATTCTTTTTTAAAAAAAAATATGTTAATGTTTAATAAGAATTTATTTTTTCTCTCTCCTTCCCCTCTCCCTCCACAAACCCCATTAAAAAGAAAAGAAATACAAAACCCTTGTAATAAATAGAGATAGTTAAGGAAAATAAATTCCCCCATTGGCCCTGTTCAGAAATACATTCGTTGTTTTGCATCTTGAATCCATGACCTGGAGGTAGGTAAAATAGTTCATCATCAGTCCTCTGGAATCATGGTTGGTCATTGTGTTAATTAGAGTTCTTACAACTCTAAAGTTCCTAAACCACAGTGAAATTAGGAGAAAACAATATTGGATGATCATACTCCTCTCCCTGCCCCAATAGAAATGGGCCATCATTAGTGATTCTTGAAGATTTTCTTAGTTTTTCTTATTCAAAAGATAAAGAAAACATGGTTATCTAGATTGAGGACTCTTGATATCCATATAACTATTCAAAAAATAATTCTTCCATACTTTATAATTACTAGTAAATGATTACATTTTGTATAACTATAAGATCTGTGTTAATAAATTTATTCAAAGGTGCAATTTTCCTAAAGTTTAGCCCACATTTCAGAGATTTTTTTTGGGGGGGGAGAGGGAAGTATTTTCAGAAAAAAAATGTTAAGTATATAATAATGTAAGTATGTAAATTCTCAAGTTACAGATACAATATTAGTAAGTGTGGCCTCGTGGGTCTGCATATGTGATTCAAATGTATTGCTAGTCTGCACCTGTGCAAGGCATTCAGTTCTTATAGTTCTTAAGTTAGTTTGAGAAAAAACACCCTAAAACAACAATTTTTATCATCATAGTAAGGGGAAAGGGGGACCTCAGGAAAAGACTTTCATTTCTATTCTCTAGCACTTATTGCAGATGTCAAAGAATAGGTTAAAATAAGATTTCTTCACCATTTTTGTGTCATTGGCCTTTTTGTCAGCCTGGTGAAGTCTATGGACCCCTTCTCAGAGTAAGTTTTTAAATACATAAGACAAAGTGCATAGGATTACAAAGGGAACCAATTATAAATAGTTTTTAAAAACAAGTTCCTAGGCCTCAGGTTAGGAACCCTCAGGGGAAAAAATGCACCATTGGCTAGCAGTAGTTCATACAAGGATTGCCTCACCACCACCCCGTATTATGTCCTTAGCCTTTCAGAATTATGTTAGAAAGGAAGCTAGTTCACATTTTCATCACTTACCTTCAGTTCCTCAGTTTCTATGAAGCCACTATGATCGGTGTCATACTTTCTCCATGTCTGAAAACAAGGATGGCACAACCGTTTGAGTTAAATAATTACAATCATAATGCTTGACATTTATATCATGTTTTAAGATTTATGAAGTGCAAATACATTCCTTTGTTCCTTAGAACAACCAATCATTGGGTCATTTACATTTAGAGCTGGAAGAGACCTTAGAGGTGCAACCCCTTCATTTTACAGCGACTCAGAGAGGTTAAGTGACTTCCCCCTAGGTCACACAGTTAGTAAATATATGAAGCAGAAATTGCCTGTACTTAGCACCTTGGCATGTAGTAGGTGCTAAAATGTCTATTGATTTTTGATCTTGACAATTTCCACTAAGGGGGCTTTTCCTGCCTCCCAGTACCTGCATGAATTCCTCACATGACTTCAGCTGCTGACATCTAAAGAGAAGCAGGAAGTTCTCTTCTGTTGGTAGTACATGAGCCAACTGTAAAAGATCAGAAAGGAAGTTATGGTTGTTTTGAGAAACTTGAGAGTAACACTCTGGGCTTTAGTTGCTAGAATAATACTTTTGACCTATATGGCATTGTAAGATGTGCAAAGCATGCTCTCACAGCAACTTGTAAGGTAGGTGATACAAACATCATTCATTCCTGTTTTACAGATAAGGAAACGTGCCTGGGATGCACACAGCTAAAATGGTTCGGATACAGTATTGCAACCAAGGTTCCTCTTTTTTTAGGTTAAATATTCTCTCCAATATGCCTGATGCTTTTCTTTCCAGAATTAGTCTTACTAGCCAGAAATACAAGAGATGAAAAAATTGTTAATAGCTACTTCTTTTTTGATGTGTTGCTCTAGGAATATTATTGGTATTGTTTGGAATGTTTGCCCACATCACTAGCAATTTATTCCAAATCTTTTCTTTTCAATGGTTAAAAAGTGGCCTATGCAAAAATTGTTTTTCTGCCTACCCATACATACTATATGCTTTCTCCTTATTCTTTTAAATTATGATGGGTGTGGGATGGGAAAAGAAAGACAGAAAGAGACAGAGATAAAAAAGGAGATACAGAGAGCCTTATACCTTAGTGCGTTTTATTATTAATTGTCTGGTACATAAACCAATAGGTGCCATTAGAGATATTCTATACCCTTTGTGCCCGAAGTATTATACTACCAGCATCATCCTCCCTCTTTCTTTTTCTCCCTAATGCAATCTGGGCTATGCACTCTTGTTTCTGACAAGTCACGAGGCAGAGTGAGACACAACAAAATAATTTTCCTTCACATGTGAAAATAAGAGACCAAAGCCTCATACCTAAAGTTATTGAATACTTTATTCAAGAAGACAGTTAAGAATCAGTGGACATGGCAAGCCCCAAATGGCACCAAAAAGAAAAAAAAAAAGAAATTGGTTATACTTTAACAAGCCAGAAATGACCATTTACCTAGGTCAGTCATTTCCAAATCAGCCATCTGTGTACCATTGAACCACTGACTTGCTAGAGCAAAGTAAAAAATGTCAATTGGAAAAATGGATAAAAATTAAGGAGGAAGGTATTGTTTATGATTGAAGTAACTTCAACTTAATCTATTTAAACAAGCTGTTAAAAACAAAAATGGGAAATGGAAAGAAGAACAGAATTGAAACAGACTATCATCATTTCCTCAGGAAGTTTAACCAACGTAAATTAGTCTCCACAATGAACAGAACTGAAAAGCCTAGACACTGCCTCAACTAGCAGACACTTGGTTTCTTTGTCAAGACATGGCAACACTGGTTCATAATATAGACTCTTTTGTAAAATCATATAGAGTACAATAGAGGAAGATTATGAGCAGTATCACCTCATGAGAATCAGGGAGAAGGAAAAACAAGTTTACAGAAAAGATATGAGAAATCCAGTTAAACTAGATTATCCTGGAGATAAAACTAGAAGGAAGACAATAAGTGTACCCCAAATGGGAAGATATATAAAGATTTCTTTAACGAACCCTTTTCTCCACTGATGGTGATGGACTCTAATATCACAATCTCTAACGTTGCATGAGGAAGCAGAATTGGCACTAAAGATAATAAAAATGGGAAAAGTAGCCAAAATTATGTAATAAGATGTGGTGGGTAGAGGTGGATCAAGCTGGGGGTTGGTGGTGACATAATTTTGATGGTGCTGATATATTAATTCTCAAGTTATTTGGAAGAAGAGAGGGTACTAAATTCTTAGGAAAAATGATGGAGTTCATGAAAAAAAACAAGAAAATATCAACAACTACTCATCTATTTGCCCATTTTACTTAGGATAATCAACACACACACATTGAGGGTATCCTTGAGGAAGGTATGAAAAGGAAATAGGCAGGCTTTTTCAGATAGTATTCTACAGTACACAACAACTTATAGTCATATAGCTGACTGAAAGGTGTAGGGAACATAGGATTCTCACCTGTGTTTGTTGACTATCAAAACAAATTTGATTTGGTATAGCAAAATGCTGCCTTAAACACTCTCCAACAAGATGTCTCATGAATATATAAAACTCATACAAGAAACAATATTTTAAAAACTATCCTCTGATTATTAATATTAAATGAGGCCCCAATCAGAGAGATGTATGCTTGCCACAGTTGTGAAAAGTGTCTCAGTCAGTCAGTTAAGCATTTAAGCATTTACTGTATGATAAGAACCATGCTAACTACTACGGGTACAAAGAAAGGCAAGAACATGATCCTTGACCTCAAGAAATTAACATTTTGATTGGGGAAACACAAAATGCAAACAACTAGATACATAAAGATATATACAGAGTAGATAGATGGCAAACTCAGAGGGGAAGCACCAGCATGTATCTGTCATAATGTCCAAATGTAAGAGGGATTCCTAATAAGTGAAAGAAGTTTTTCACTAGAGCTCTGTTTGCGGAGCGACAGTAAGAATTCAGCATCTGCTAGACGTCCCTCTTCTATTTGGAGTCTGTGTGAAACATGAGATTGCATAAAACCTCTTAAATGAGATGAACAATTACTCAAAGGAGTTTGTGATTTTATATATATATATGTGTGTGTGTATATATATATATATATATATATATATGAATATCCAAGTGGCTGAAAAATGACTATTATTTGCATTGCTCTTCAGGTGGATAAATAACTCATATTTCTTGTCCATTATATATCTTGACCAGACATTATAGAAAGAAAATTAGTTGGGTCCAGAAATGAACAGAAGGAAAGTAGATTGGATTGTCTTTGGGAATTTGTTTAGTGCTTTTAATAATCCTAAGTTTCTTCTTGAAACAAAGGCTTGTCTTTTTGACATTAGAATTCTTCTGGTAATATTGTATGACTGCTAGTCTTTTAACAGTTTTACCCCCAAATGTCTCATTAACAAGACTTTTCCCTGTCTCTAGTACCTCCTTGGCCATATTAGAGATGACACAACTTTATCACCTTGGTGTTTGAAAAATTAAGGTTGAGTGTCACCCAAAGGGCAGAGATGCATGGTGGGTATGAATAGGCTATAATATATTACTAACGAATAGTGATGTAGCTGAAGCAGCATAAAATATTTCATTAGAGAGCTGTGTGATGTAAAAAGAGGCAGGCTGATCATGTAGTAAAAATGAAGGATAACTAATAAACATTCCATTCCTTTGGTATCAATACCATTTCAGGAGATCTAGAGAAAAACACCTAGAATGGTGGATGGAAATCCAGTGTGCAGGTTGGGAAAACATGGATATATTGTGATATTTAATGTGGAAAGGAGTATTCATATGGATGAAATCATCATCTTACTGAACATGATACCACTGAATATATTCTTGACCCAGTTTCTCACTATTATAGTAAGAGTTCATTAAGTTAGGAGAAAGAAAGTAGAGATGACAAAGAAATCCCAAATCCCTGAAAGACAAAATGGGTCATAGGGGGAAGGGAGGAGGAGTAATATGTGGAGGTAATAAAAAAAACACACAGATGGGTTAAGTCACTAGAAAGAGATGTAAATGTCAATTGAGGATATGATTCCTGCTCTAAAGTCTTTCATAACTCCCTATTATCTCTGCAGTAAAGTTTCAAGTCCTTTGCTTGACATTTAAGACCATACGCAAACTAATATTACCCTAACTTTTCAGACTTCAGTCTCTTCTTCACATACTCTGTAGTTTATTTAAAATGAACAATTATCTACTCCCTGTGATCTGCACACTCACTCCCTTATGATTTTGCTTCAATTGTTCCCTGGGTATGAAATGTTCTCTTTTCTTTTTACCTGTTGAGGTCTTACCCTTTAAGCCTGACTCAAATGCCACCTCTTTTAGGAAGCTTGCATTGATCACCATGAAGGAAGCAATACTTTCTTGTTTTGTAATTCTCAAATGCACATTACGTAGCAAGTACATACTAAATCCTTGTTGACTGATTGAATGACAAACATTGGATATTATTAGTTATCTGTATTTTTGTCTTATCCCCTTACCAAACTCTTAAATTCCTTGAGAGCCAATGGTGAATTAAATTGAATTCAACAAGTATATACTAAGCACTACTATGTGCATGGTGCTCTTAGGCACCATAACTACTATATGTTATTTAGTGATAGAAAGGAAAAATGAAAAATGATCCTTGCTCTTAAGGAGTTTACTTTCTATTTGGGGAGATGCAACATATATACATATAAGTAAATACAAGGTAATCTGAAGGAAGAAAAATCAATAAGAACCAGGGGAATCAGGAAAGGCTTCCTGGAGGACATGTCACCTGAATTGATTCTTGAATGAAGCGAAGAACTCTAAGAGGTAGAGGTGATGAAAGAGGGCATTCCAGTTATGGAGGAAAGGCTCTAAGGGCAAGAGCTGGAGTGTTGAATATGGAGAACAGCTAGTAAGTGTGCAAATTTGGCTACAATATAGTAAGGGGAATAATACGAAATACATCAGGAAGGTAGGCTGGAGCCAGACTATGAAGGGCTTTAAATGAGGGCTGAGGTGTTTGCATTTTGCCATAGAGGTAAGAGAGGAGGTTTTTGAGCTGGAGAGGAATACAAATAGACCCTTACTTTAGGAAAATTATGATGCCAGTAGTGTAGGCAATTAACTGGAGGGGAGAAGAGGCTGGGATGTTATTTAGAAGACTGTTGCAATAATCTAGGAGAGAGGGAATGAGGGCCTGAACTAATGTGATGGCCAAATGACACATCCAGTATTGGTCCTGTTGGAAGAAGGAGGACTTCCCTTCCAAAGGAAAGGTGGGAGAAACAGCAAGGCCAGATAAAGGAGTACAAGTACCTATTTAAGTACTCAAGTATCCAAGACTAAGTTTTATTTTTTGGTATTGTTAATTAATTGATTAATATTATTTAAGCTGTAAGTATGTGTTAAATTGGCAAAAACAATTTAAAGGAATGGAATTCAATATTGCCAGTACTGTCAACAAATGGGTATACCCATTCACTTCTGACGGAATTGCAGACTTGTAGAATTT